AGCGGCTCACTAAAGAGGAAATAGACCACACTCCTTGCCTTTTTGTACGAAAATTAAAACGTTACTAGTGGGGACATAGGAATGATTAGGCTGTTTAAGTAACGGTAAAATCAAGTTGTCGTTTTTRACACTTCCACATCTCATTCGCCGTTTCTCAGCGACGTATTATACCAGATAAAGAACATTTATCTTCTAATGGTGGAATGTGGCGATGACATTGAAGACGTAATTACTTAATGCTTACACAATAAATGACCACAACATCGSTAAGCACTGCTCTTTCATTGGTAAGTTTGAATTAAGAGGGAAGGACCAAATCTTTGACTTTTGTATTTTAAAGGAACATTTTAGATCCAAGACAATGAAGTGGTAATGTGAATACGTGCTGTGTGCATAACAATAGTCTGGCAAAGCGATGCGAATAATGACGGTTTTGTTAGACATTTGGAAAGTATTATCAGCTCAGTTGAGCTCATTTTCGGTATAGAAAAACTCTCGCTTTTGTTACGCGTAGCTAGCTAACGATGGAAAAGTAGATAGAATATCAAGAAAGAACGGATTCATTCTGACGGACATTAGAAATCGTCTAAATAACAAATATATATGCGACAGAAATCTCTTTGACGAAAATTAAATCTGAAAAACAAATACAAATTTATCTTGGCTTCGTCTCCAATCTCTTTAATCTTCGGTCTTGTATAACTTTGTTTCTCTTTAGAATTAAATCACTTTTATRAAAAAAATCATTTCAAAAAATTGAACTAGAAAGTAGCATAAGTTCTTKAGTCAAACAGACTGTTTCTTCGTTGTTCGTGACAGCACTATCTATCGATTAGTCGGTGTGATATTATGAATCATCGCTCACCCAAGTTCGTAACAGGTGAACTAAGTCTGTGACAGTTTCAGTCAAGCTTTGGTAAATTTGTCGCTCGAACTGCCTTTGTGTTTAAAAACAAAGTTTGATTAATTCAAGCTGGATAAACCCCACTTTGCAGCTGATAAGTTAATGTTCAAACATAAATCTCTTAATAGCTGTTAGTTTTCTACAAGACTCGTTTAACAATAGGACTATGAGGTAGGATTGTATTGGTCTTGTTTGAAAGTCGCCCCACCTTGGTATATCAAAGAAAGAAMAATAACAAAGCCAAAAGGTTGAATAACTTAAATGGGTCACGCGCTTGATAAATATCGTTGTGAATCCGCCTTTTGTAATGTATGTTTAAGCATTTTTATTAGACTATGAGATCTTTGATAGAAAGGACGTAAGCTAGTCGCTAAAGTTATTAGATACAATTAGTGTATCCGCTACCATGGGGATAGAGCAGTTTTCATCTTTTTTTCAGAACGGATAGCTCGCATTCGGCAGTCTTATAAGCAAACCAAAGGGGCCGATACGCCATGGAAAAAGGGACCGAGATTCAATATTTATATCAGTGAGAGCTATTTCCGCTCACTTTCGATCTAAGTAAGTTTATTGTTCAACACAGGAAGCGAACGATAATGCTGTTTTGTAATTAGTGGGATCCATTGCTGTTTTCTTCCAAATGTAAAGATAAAGAAGAAATAATTAAAATCTGAAATTGGAAAAATACTGCATGTATGTATATTACTTCGTTGACTCCTCGCAAACTTTTTATGCATAAATTTATATGTGAATTATATAAGAACTAGATATATATGTCAAGAAAAACAAGAAATCAATAACAGGAAAAGAGATTTAAAACAATAAAATAGCAAAATAATTACAAAGGGAAAATATAAACGATGAAAATCAGAAGAGTAAACATAAAAAAAGACTTTAATAAAAAAAACCCGTAATTTACAAAAGTTACAATTTGACCAGCTTCTATAATAATTATTAAGTTTCTAAACCAACAAACAAACAAAATGGACCATGATGGATAAATAAAAGTTTTAAATTTGGTAATTACATTAGCACATTTTATTGCAGCCGACTAATGTATGGCTAATGCATGATCGGATGAATGAGAACTGAGATCTTCCAAGGGAACAGGGGCAATGACCAACATGCGCGGCAACTRAAACGTATGTATTTCCAAATCCAGATTCAAAATTAAACAAATAAATGGTTTAAAAATTAACTGGAAAAGGTGAGAAGCACAAAATTCCGGTTCAGCTTAGAAGAATGATAAATTATCCGATAATAAATCACCAATATAAGTAATTTGCACTTTATATCATGATATGCAGAGAAAAATCGTATGTTTTATTTATGATCGACTCTTTGCTACGATTTAACGGTTGCTATCCAATCTATCACTAAAGAAACTTAGGAAAAATTAATTCTTAATTTTCAATGTGAAGATTTTGAAGTATTTTATGATTTAAGAATACGGATAATGTTTACGCGGGYGTTACTCAGTATACATCCGGAAATTGTTAAAAAAAACGTTTTAACTCAATAGTATTGACGTAAAACGAACTATTTTCAAGGCATCGCTCTCTCAAAAACAAAATAACAATAAAATAACAGGAGAAAAAGCGTTTTTCAGTGATAAAAGATTGCTAGATTCGACTCAATCTATTCTTGCTGGAGCCCCGAGTTAAATCCCGGATGTTGATATTATATTGATGCTGATGTACAAACGGTTACAGCTGCACATGTAGCCCGATAGACTGCTTTTTATTTTGAAAGCCTCCAAGTAATTATATGTAATTTTTAATCTGTCTATTCTACGCAATACTAATAACTTAGGGTTTTTTTATCAGCGTTACTGGCTTTAATTGAAAGACCCGTGCACCCATCTTTTGTTGGCACTATTTAAAAATTGTTTCTCGGTTATGTAGTAGTGGTATTTCTTTTATCCCGAGGCCATAAAGGTTTAAAATAAATTAAGCTTTAAATTCCATACGAGTGCTTGCATAACCTAGGAAGCGTGTTTGTTTGGCACGTGACTAGGACTGAGTATCTGAAGACAGCTGTTTTGGCGCGAGGAGATTTGGTGGGAGAACGCACCTGCCCTCATTCAAAATAAATACTTCATCAATAAGTTTATGAAAGGACATCGAAGACGCTACGAATAAAGTGCTTGGGGGGCGGATGTAGAAAGCTCAATACAAATGCAAGACCGCTCTCTTATAGGAAACTTCGAACTCGCAGTCGGCACTTCACCTGCAACAGCGTTGCGTCTTCAAGAATTATCTCAGCGTCAGCGAAAAGCAGATTTTTTCCAAGTTAGTGGATTGTATATTTATTAGATGCACGAGTAGATAAGCTTTAAAATAGACCAGTGTATAGCTGCTGCTCTAACACGAGCTGTCTAGTTTGTCAAATACGAAACAACGCTTTATTTGAAATATCAGAACGATGATGTCCGGAAGGCCCTTGATCTCGAGAGCCTGGCACGTGCAGCGGAAAAGAACATTTTCCCCAACAAACCAGTAAACAATTAAGCAGATGTTAGCTACCGAAATGATTCACTTACTMGCCTTAAATTGATGTCTTAATGTAAAACTGAAATAGGGAAGAAGATTAAGGCAACGCTCAGTCGTTACGCGAACAATTCTAGTCAATTCTACCAGCAAGGCGCAGAGAAACAGTCATCTTCAAAGTAAGAAATGCTCCAGTATGATAATGGGATTTCACTAAGATTTTTATATATTTTAGTCAGTACAATTTTAGAGATAAATAGATGTGCTTAATTTTGCGGTGTTGGTGGTGGAAAGTGTGTGATCAGCTGTTGGGGGAACGTCAGTTGACCATCTATACAACACATCGCTTGTATTAGAAGATATCCGATAACTTTCCTAAAAGACAGAGGTTTTATACAAAGTCAACGTTTGTCGATACAGGTGCAAGCCGACTAACTTTGCATAACAATAAGCAGCATATAAGCGTAAAAGAAAAAAACAGAGTGGGGAATTTTTTCATAATTAATTGGACGTACGAGCGGAAACTGAAACCCAGAAACGAAAATTCTCAAGCTCCAAGGATATTGGAAAGTCTATCGTAGGTGAGTGTGCTTAAACAACGGTGAAAACAGTGGTCTTGAACGCAGCGTTTGTACTCAACCGRTCAAACGAAAGTAAAGGCGGAAAATTCAGGGTTTTCATGTGAGCTCCATTCAGCGGGGACGTCATTGGGACACGGAGTCGAGGCTAACATCGTTCACAACTGACTGATTCAAGACGGGAGATCTCACGGTCAACGCTCGTCTCAAGTCTTKGAGCTATACTGTCTTCTATCTCCGGATATCAAGTTAACAAGGATAAGAAAGGTTGGGAACAAGTGAATCGTCGTGTTGTGGTTCCGTCTTCAAGCTCAATGGATGCGAGGAATGGATGATTTCAAGTTCGATGTAGGGGACGTTGTTTTAGCAGAGTGGGAAGACAAATTATTCTACGCTAAGATCCAAAAGATCGACAAAGACAAATCGTACTGCCATCTCATCTTCGACGATAATTCCGTCGAGGAATGCCCGTTTTCCAAGATTCACAGTGGTTCGTCTCATCTTGTAATTTTTTATTCAATTCGGTTTCCTTCACCGGGAAATACAAATTTGCCCAAAATCCGGTCCGTCTGAAAGATTTGTCTGTTTATGGATTGTAATTTCATTCATCATTGGTCTCGAAGTGCGAATTGAGCCTATTGAAATAAGCAGAAGACTATTGATGGATTGATAGACGAGGAATTTTCGTGTAAAGTTGTAACTCGTGTTTCTTTTCTCTAGTAACAGAGACGACTGCTGAAATTGTGTGTATTATTTGCAAAGACGGAACTTCAGCGCAGCCTAACGAGATAGTTTTGTGTGACAAGTGTGGTATTGGTAAGTAGAAATTGTTTCTTTACTTTTCATTTCGTATCAGCTAGAGAGCGAAACGAGATCCATCTARACAGCTATAACGGGAGTCTGAAAAGCTTTACATGTGTGTTCGATTAGCGATGAAAGAGCGCCATTGTAGAAGAATATTGCATGCGATCCACCTGTCTGTGTTGTGGAGACCAGTTCACAGGTAATAGCTACGTGTTGCATTAAGACAATGTACCTTCAACAAAACTGAACATTAAAGGCTTTCTATGTGTTTTGCTCTATCGTTTGTCTACATATAGGGTTTAGGTTTTTGATACAATCCGCGTGTGAATATCAGCTAGGCCATGTGGTCCTTCAATGATAGTGATAGTAACGTTATACATACAAATAGCCTTAGATATAAAATATATATAAACTTGTAAAAGTGCTCTCAAAATATCATTTTGCAAACTATCGCAATCAAAATAGACTAGGCCTGAGTGCCGTAAAGAGAACACCAATATCGAGATCAAAACTGATAAAAATACACAATAACTTCACATAAGTATATAATCTACTAACTCAAAGCAATGACTTTTGGCATTTTTTCAGTAATATAATATATATACTCGCGATTTTTGACGAAGGATGCTGACTTCGCGACAAGCATAATTTTTTAGAAATTATAATGTAATAYCATTCTTTATGTTCCTTATTATCATGACATACTTTAGAAACGGGAAACTATAGATATTAATTCGTGAATAATAATAAAGGCTTGCTGGTTGGTTATGACGTCAAACGGCTTCTTGTTAGACTACTGTACTCAGACATTTCTATTAAAATACGATTCATTTACAAATGCTTTTGAAATATTTTAGTTTCGAAAATGAGCTGAAATTATTTAAAAACAGAAACTAAGTAGAAAAACCACGCACTTGTTTAATTGTATGTAAACTTCCTTGATTGTAGTTTGTAGAAAGCGAAATTCAAATACTTCAGAAGACATGTGGCTTATTAAAGCTTTAAAAAGTTTTTTTATATATAGTTTTTTTTTTACAAGTTATAGAAGCATAGTAAAAATAGAAATATCTGTCAGGGGGTGGGGTGGTGGATAAAAAGGTATCAAGTTAAGTCGTATGTTTCCATGACCCCGATAGTCAACTCGATGCACGCGTTGACTATCGAGTGKTGGCAAAACAATTTTTGTTTACAATATAATRTAGTTCTTTCTGTATTTTGCGTTGTCAATAACACAGCTGATTTTGCTGATCGGTGATAAGTAGAAAGCCATCTAGTTTTTAACACCGTTTTCAAGCAGGAAGCGACAGCCTTTCACTAAAATTGCTGCCATCATTTTCGCAATTAGCGGGAAAAAATCGAAATATTTTTGTTGTTGATGTTTATCACCAGAAGTTTCGCTTTGGCAAAACCAATGTCGGTAGAGACCACACTGGGTGACAATTTCTCCCTGACCTTTAATTGGAATTTGTACAGGGGATTTCAATAGAGAAATTGTTTTATTCGCCGAATGAGTGTCTCCCGGCCTGTTGTTCCTTGAAGGACACGGCTGCGTGCACCTGCCTCCACTAATTATCGAACCAACAACTTTTTATCTGCTTTCCTCAATGGTTTTCTTATTAAAATTGTAAATCATTCATTAAATATTAAGACCTGCAAAATACCTACAAATACAGCTTTTGAAGAGAGCTTACAGAATAATCGCCTGACAAACAATACTGTAGGTAGTCGATGTTTTTTCGCTTTATATATTTTGATGAATATGTTGTGTCTGTTGGAATTCAAATTGTAAGAAAGGTTTAATGTTTTCCACTCAGAGTATCTTATAGTTACTAGTTATGAAAAATTTATACACAGAAGGGTCCAGCAAGTTTACGTAAATTAAGTTTAGACTGCAAGTCGAACAACTTGTCGTGAATGTAAGTCATTCACGCAAATAATTCCTATTTACATTAATAACATTTTGTATATGGTCTTTATGAAATCCCCAGTAACAGTTACAGAACCGATGGTGTTGATCCTTAGAAAGACTCGCCAAGTTGAAGCTGCATTGTCCGCCAGGTTTAACGCGTTGCTAAGAGATATCTTATCATTCGTGAAATTATAATGTTATCGTCATTTCGAGAATTTAAGCAATTAAAAAACTCAAAATATGATTTAAACTATACGTGTGACTTAAACAGCAGTCGGATTACTTTATTTTTGTTATTTTAAAAACTAACTAAAAGTTCACTACTCAGTTAACATGCATGTAAAATATACAATGTTACACACAAAAAAAAATTCTAAAAATTCCTTTCGCACTTAAATCATTTCCATAAATTAAAATATTGTTTAAACAATTTGCTAAAGACTTTTTTCGCACATAAACCAGTGTGCACGCGTTTAAAGAGTTGAGTTTGTTCAGGGACCTTTGAAGACAGCGACAATGATGTCCTTGCCTTTGTTAGTCAACTTGACTGTATTTTATACTCGCACAATAACTTGGCACAACTCACCAGCTTAATTGACTCTATTTTCCAGCTGGTAAAACTTAAGTCTCAAAAGAGGATAGCGCCGAAAACTAAATAAGGTACACAGCTTATGAAAAAATTTCACAATTCTCTAATATCATGAATCCGTAAAATATTCTCTGATAGTGTTTTACAGCAGTCATGATATTTTGCTAATATTGATCGCAGGTTGTTCTAAAATATTGAAACCATTGCTTCTAAGGTTTTTAAAATTTAATCATGATTTGTTACTGTGGAGATTTAGCGTTTACACGAAATGTTTTTCACTGCATCTAAATGAGAATAGATTAGCGTCAATATTTGACTTTTTATTCATGAAAACCTTTAAGGAAATTCAACGTTTTTGGCCAGTTTGAGTTATCAGAAGGTTGTTTGACGTCATGAGTAAGGCTTCAAGCTAATTACATAGTCAAAGCTCTTAACTAAATACTGAAATCTTTTGACGGAGCCGATAACACCCGTATATTGACTTGGTATAATTCCTGACCGATAAACAACGGATATTCCAACGTATGCATTACGGTAATGTATGTTGTTTGGTTAAAAAAAACTACAACGGAAGAGACTGCTATTACCAAACATGGATCTATCTACTTAAATTATTGTTACAAAACCCAGCGTCAAAGCGGCTTTCATTAGGGAAAGTTTAGCAGTTTCGGTTCCTCTAGTCGGTGTAGAGAAGGTAATAGCGCATAATGCACGGCCGCTGAGTAAAAACAAGAGAACACGAAAACAAGAAAGTAAGGAGATCTTAAGATTGCGCAAACAGTACAGAGTAAATTGTAAGTAATATGGTAAGAACAGAGGCGTGAGATGGCGTGGTAAGTTTGACTTTTTGTCCTCAGGCAAAATACTTTACTGGCTCTTATACTGCCTCTCTCCAATTTTATATACGGATATCGTCGGCATTTTCTAAAGGAGAAGTTTCCGTCGTTCTAAAGTTTATTAGGTTCGCGAGTCCACAATTGTTAGATTCATTTAATTTACTTTACGATCAGTCGTGAAGCATACCGAAAGAGCCCTAAAATGCAGAAATAGTCCCGGAAAAACGGTTTAAGTTGAAAGTGACACCAAATCGTGCATATGAAAGTAACAAAAACAGAATATATTATAGAAATATAAATAAAATGAATTTAAGATGAATGTCAAATGAAATGATTGTGCACCGGAAATGTAGATCCAAGCAGGACCATTTTATGAAGTCTATGACGTCATTTCTTTTGCTACTTAAGCAGACGCACGAATTTTAAGGGTTGTTTTTAGCACTGAAAACATTTATWGATTCTTTCCCAATAAGCAAAGAAACGAATCTCAGCTGGATATAAAGAAAAGTGTAGATACCAAGCTGACGGAAAAAAATTACTTATTTTTAATTATCCATTATGACAGAAAAACACTCGAACTGCAGTCTGTAGTTCAAACCCGCTGAAAAATTCCAAGCTCCATAGCAACTCTGAAATGATTAAGTCTGTTGTCCTCCTTCTATTTAAACACCATCTACACAGATACTTATTTTCAAACGCTCGATAAATTCTTTCCGATGACTTCGGATGCCAAGGTAACGAAACCCCCAGGGTACTGCACTGCTAGACAGTTCGTCAATGAGAGCTTTAGTTCTACATCTCTTGTGTGAACTTACATGTTCCTCTGAAACGACTTCAAAGAAACCACGCGATATATCCACCTTTTGATGAATGGATTTAGCTGAAATGACATCTTAATTTCTTAGTAAGGTATGATAAATAGTGAAAAAATGAGAAGCCAGTAACACTAGCGCTGTCGTTTGAAATGACAGAAATGTTCTGCATGCTATTACAGTGTTTTCATGACCATTTCTTGGCGGTTGACAGTGAGAAAGCTTTTTTCTGAGGGTATTTTTTTAGGAATTCCGTTTAGTGCAATCATTAAGGTTGGCTGTGTTTTTATCAGGTATTATTTAAACTGCAAAGTACCAATAAATAATCGCAATTACAACCTGTCAAAACCTGACTTGTGCTTCCGCGATTTCTCAGCCTTAGGAAATAGCACTTTGAAAGATATTACGCTGTAATACTAGAATGGAATCCCTCAAGACAATACCGGGACGAAAACGTCATATCAAAAACCACTTGTCTTATAGAGAAACAGCTAAACGTTTGATATAGAAAGTGATGTGCATTCAAAATAAGCCATAAATTCTATTTTTAAAATTCAAATGACAATCAAGTCTTTTTAATCAAAAATGTCTATGTAATTCTACCAAAAGTAATACATCGTTTTGTACTGTTTTACTACAAAGGGTTTATAATGACAAGACCCATTTTAGTGCCCAGGTAATCTCAAACAAATCAGCAGCAAGACTTGTCACTTGGCTCAGACTGCGCGGTTTTCTTGGTCGCGATCACTTGTCCATTATAAATAAAACAGTGCATTCTTGCGCTAAAGGTTACGTTGCTGCTTAATATCGAAAAAGACACACAATCGTTCTTTTTAAAACATTGACTTTCAAATCCCATAGTCTTGTCTCTATGGTAACCAACGGTTGCCTGGCAAATTCCATAGAGACGAAGGTACACGTTAAAGTGCTGGGAATTATCGGTGATTTATTTGCTCTGATTTCACTTACCGCGCGGATTTTGGAAGGTAATGAAAGATTTGCCCAAAATGACATTCATTGTAACTAGTGGCAATAGTGCTGAAGATTTGCGTTATTTCGTTTTCGTGTTGTATTCGCATTGTTCATTCATATTCATTCTCGATGCGATAACCCAACGAAACGCATAATTTAGCCCCTGAATTTTCAAATCTATGCATCCATGAACTGAAAACTATCGTTTTTGATAATTCCGATAAAATTAATGATGAAAATCAGCAAAATTGTATCTGAAACTTGAACGTGAACTGTTACAAAACGCCTAATCGAACGATGTTTTCTTTCGTCGCTTTTCATCTCCAAAGCTACGAGTAATTATTCGGTTATACCCTTGTAATCATGACTAGGATTAAAGCTTCAACAGATCATATGATATCCGAGCACATGGCAGCGTTCAGTARAGTATGTCACGTGATCAAGATCTCCATTGTTACATTTTAATTCAATTTCTTCTTTAAAGAGAGTTTTCAGTTCGATAGTAAAAGTGTAACGGTGACACATGATAACGGTGTGTGTGTTTTGGCAAGCTGTCATTCCTAGAARGTGTTTTGTCAGATAGGTACATGTCATTTGTGTGTAGGTCTATATACAATATTGTAAAAAAGCTCGGTTTAATGACAGCTGCTGAAGGACGTTTTTCATCTATAGGGATCGACTACAAGCTAGTTGATAACTTTATGCCTTTTTAACCTTTTTTCAATCAGGTTACCGTAGACCGTGAAAGTAAGTTAAAACCCGATCGCTAGCCAATCATATTACGAGACCGCACCAATCATAAACCAAAATGATTAATATTTTTAGATGTGGAAAAAAGAGCCAAATCTCCTTACTGAATCTGAACCGAAAATTATTGTAAGTCATAGATAAGATATCAAATGCAATGGGCAAAGTGTGTGATATAGTRTTCCTCATACAGGAAATGATTTCTTTCCATGTGATGTTTATAGCATTTAAAGGCGATAGAAAGCAGCTCATTAAGTCTATCCCGCTTCCTTCCATCTATCTATGGAATAACAATTCTAGATAAAAACAACCAATGGTAAAACAGCTGCCGATATTATACTTTCTAAGCGTAAAACTTCTCTTCCATATTGATATTGGCAGAAGATTGATTAAGGGTGATTCTGTAACTCTTGTTCACCTCGCACATCACCGAGTAGTATTAGCGAGGTTTTTAGGAAATTGGCATATTCTTTGATTTGGAATAAACTTGATATGGATAATGCACTTGTCTTAACGTGGCAAACTGGGAGAGTAAATGGGACCTCAAGTATTAAACAAACGGTAGCAGAGACTTGAGATAAAAATAAAGAAATTGATCCGCCAATAAAAGGCTTGAGAAGAGCCCATCAGCTCATATCCGGAGACAGCGACACAACCGATTATCACGGTGATCCGCGGCGACAGAGACATTGAATACTTGAAAGGTTTTCTAGGCCGTCTAAGCTATGACGTCACTCGGGAAAAAAACACAACCAGAGATTTTTGTCACTCTCATGTTTTAGCCTCAAAAGTGCACGTTCGCTTTATACACTCTGATTGGTACTCAGTGAGTCTTGTTTCGCTAAAAGCCTATAAGTCAAAGGTGAAGTAACAACTTAAAAGGTAGATGAGATGTTTTTTTTTTCTGTGTTACTATTTTATTTGAAAGACCGTTTGCGTTTTTTGTTCAATTACATTTTCATTTTCTATATCAATTTGAAAATTAATCATTAATTGTTAGTGTTTAGAATCAAAGGTTTAATATTTGAGCAAAAAATTACGGATTCGCACGCTTTTAACACATAAACACATTTCCCGCCATAAATTGACTATTATTTTGGCGGGAAAAAAGGTGGGGTGCCTCATTTCGCGGGAGGTGTTTTCGTTTTAACAAGAAGCGCTGTACTAAGTTCATTACGTTATTGGTAATCAGCGAATTGTTCTTCACTAATATAATTTCCTACGTTTCACGAGTAAATTTGCATGTGGGCTTGAAGTTTAGTTACCTCAATTAATCGACTTCTGTTGGAGGTTGTTAGTGAAAAGAGTGGGGGGGAAAATGACGCGCGTTTGTTGATACTGGTGTACTATTTTGTTTACATTTCCAAAGTGCTCAGTTTTTAGTTATTTTAAGAGTAAGACAACATTTGAGTCACATTTACAGAGCAGTGAACACAGCAAGCATAGAATGTGACAATTGGAGGAGTCTGTTCAAACTGGAAGCCACTGCTACGACTGTTTTTAAATAACTAGAACTCCCTCCAGGAGATATCTTATCGATTCATATATGGAAGCTTTCATGGCTTTTTCGAGTTGGTCATCACCGAARGACTGAATAGTTTCAAAGCCGGCAACCATTGAATCAACATAACATTCTTTTTCCTTCCTCGTCTTATCTTTTTCAAAGCACAATATAGTATTATCTCTAGGCTGTTTCCTGTTAGATTCTTAATTCTAATACACATAAGAGCTTCCGCCATTAAAGTGCACTGTAGTCCTCGCATTGCACGTACTTTCTTTTGTTGGCCTTTTTGATTTTCAAAGGGTTTCTATTGTTTTCGTTTGTGAATTTGAAAATAATCAACCTGGAGCCCACTTGTTCGTGGYCTAGGGTTTTGAAAAAATCTTTATCTCAAGACCCTAATACCGTAAAAAGGTTTGAACACTTTCTGGATGTAAAGCGTCACAATTTATTGACACGATATGAGATGAGATACTCACTCAATGACCTCGTTTGCTTTTTCTCATTCAGAACAAAACTACCGAGAAAAAAAAATAACTTTTAAAACGCATAATCCACAGGATGTTTTGCGATTTTGATCCTTTTAAGGTGCTTGGCGTCCAACTCGACATGATTCGAAAGCTGATTGTTGTATTTTAAATGTCTTCCGTTGGAGGCTTTTTTCTCGATATATTAATTTGTCGGACGTAAGGTATATTGACAGCGGATGTTGCTGTGACAATCAAAATGGGCAACTGTCGGAAGTAAAGCAGGTGAAAGGTCTGTGTCGGCTATTATATGTACACTCACTGCATCACTCGCTTGTGTCTGACCCTAATCAGGGAAAAAGAGCGCAATCTTCTTTTCTTTCAAATTCGTAAACAAAGGAAACGATCTTCGTAGGGATAGAATACACCGCCACTTAATCGATTTCTGAAAAAAAATGAAAATATACAGTGAATATATATCATTGTTTGTGCGTGTATATATACATTAACATTTAACTCCAAATTTTCTCATTGCGCCGGTTACGTTTGACGTGATTTTCATTGGAGCCAATGTTTGACTTTCACTGCCAAATCAAAAACGCGCCGATTTGAAATATTGTCTATTAAGGTTTGCCGACTTCTTTTAAAAACTTGTCCGTTTGACAAAAAGTCACCAAGGCCAATATTAAACAGTTTTTGTGATCAACAGTAAAATAAATAGTCACATTTCGCTAGTTAGCTCCTTATGAACAACTTAGGTGTCAATGTAGAAATATTATTACACACTAGTAAAGCTATCTTTATCGCTATTTCACGGAGTGATTTTTCTTGGTTATCATGAGTTGTTCATAGTTAAGTATTAGATCCACACAAAATAAGTAGGTAAAAACTTAATTATTCTTCGCCAGGATCTCTTGATCAATTGGATTTTCATTCTATAAGCAAAGATTGACACGCAGGAAACGAGTTTTACGCACAATTTCCTGTTTTTTAGTAGTAGCTTCTCAKCAGAACCATTGCACCTGACATTCAGTCCAAACACACCTGATCTCGTACCATTGGCTCAGTTGCGTTTGCATTGTTTGCGAGTTATTACCGGCTATTCCTCACTCCCTTGACAAGTAGCATACATAGGACTTTAGATTTTCTTTGCTTGCCATCACTTGTCCCTCTGCTCCCGTAAACACGTCTCTGGATGAATAATTATCGTTGTTTACCCAGTTGTTGTTCGACCATTGTTCYACAAATGGCCAGTAATTGAACGAAATTATGTTGCACTGAAAGTTCCCCGGGTGTTTTTTCAGCTGCTCTTCAGAAATTATTCTCTGCTTCCATTTATCTCTCGTTCGCTTTCTATCGACTTGTCAAGAATATCAACTGGAAAATCACTTCTTTTTGCGAAAAAATCCTCCAAGAAGTACAGAAGACTTTCATGRAATGGTGTAGTTGCCTTGATGTCGCTGTTATGGTGAGTTACGTCCGCTTCCAATGAAGAGAAAGATGATGTGTTTATAGAACCGTCATTAGCATACGTATAAAAAAGGTTTTAGAGCCTCTTCGCTTATTCAAGGAAATTTTCGTCTTTTTTCTCAATTTAAATGCCTTATTTATACTTCTTCAGCTAATAMTATCAATTTATGATGTATGAGTGACATGTTTTTGGCGTAGAAATGATTTTAAAATGATTTTCTCGATTGGAAATGACGACAGCCATTTTGTTTGCATTCAAATAGAAGCAAGATGTACGAGAGCGTGCGAACTTCATTACCGACGCCCAAGGGATGGTTTAATGAAGTACCTAGTGTTTGAAAAGAATGAGAAAAGACACTAATTTAAGCGAAAATTCMGTCAAGTTCAATTCTTCATTTCAAAGACAGCACTAAAGATTGAAAGTGAACGGTTATTTTAAGTCTAGGAATTAAATCCTTCTCGGTATATCTTCGTATTACACTAGTCTACTCGTTAAAGCTGTTGTGAAAATTCAAGGGTTGATAACAAACAACCACAAGACCCGTATAAATATCTAGATCAAACACTAATTCGCTTGTATATAGATACTTACGAAAATGTTAATTTATTCTAAGATTTATTTTCTATATACCGTGCCGTACCTAGCAACTGAATAAATATAGACTTCGTCTTTATCTGTATAGTGGAAAAATATACTAAATGCATATATTATTTTTCCTTTTTTTGTGTTTTTCTATTTTTTTTTTTCAAAATGTATTTACATATCAGACAGAAGTCGCATCCCGCGGTGCCTGAGTGATTGTCTCGCTGTATATCTAACTTCTAACTTGTGAATATTTTTCTTTTTTTTTTTCTTAATGTCTATGTAGTAAACCTGTTACTTTTTTTAGGCTGTTTTGCAAACTCCGATTTACAATGCAATATGGTATAAAGTGTCTTCAAAGTAGGATGTATTAAAGTATATATATATAGGCCCTATTATATTTTATGTAAATATCGAGGCTAGTATGATAACGGCAGAATAAAAACGACTACATTTACATCACACTGAAAACCGTAGGTTTAATGTATCCGGTGTCAAGGCGATAGACTGGAAGTATTTTAATAATGACCATAAGAGTAGGGCGACTTAGCTTGMTGGGAGTTCTACCGGCCCATGCATGCAACATAAATTTTTATCTAATTTGTTAGGCACCGCTCAAGCTGCGATATTTTATTCATGAGTATAGTTTAATATATATTAATTTGGATTATTTCCATATAAGACTAATATACATATAGTCACTTAGATAGTTTGCGCAGAAATTCACATCAATTTCCATATAACGAAGACTTACTTTTGTTTCTCAAGTTGTCCCGTTCATTTTTTACTGAGTTTGTCTGTTCTGTGCGTTATGGTTACCCAGCCGTGTTTTTGTTGGTTTTTGTACTGTCCTCCAGTTCCAGCTTATTAAACAAAACATACAATGAGAACATGTAACATGAAAAATCCCACACCACRCCAGACAAATTGCGCTTACACAGTAGCTGGATGTTTACTGACAACTTTACATTGTACCATTCAAAAAACGACATGTTTAAGTCTAGGGGACCAAGCCGTTTAAAACTGAACAAACTTTCCGGCTGTTTCCTGATGCAACACCTATCTTGAAAACTTTTAAAATGATAAAACGTTTATTTTGTTATTATTATGCATTTTATTATTAATCATGAATTTGACATTTGCTAGAGTTTTGACCCATTCCGATGTTAARTCGTCAGGGATAGACCGACAGGAATTCTGGGAGTTTAATCACTAAGTTTAAGCAATGGAAAATGTTCTTTAAAAAGACGTTTATAATATTATAGTATATCTATAAATCTATTGTTGCAGTCCAGTGGATTTCATCAATCGACCGACCATTTTAGAGCTCTAGCCCCTAACTACCTTGCTTTCCTCCTTGTCTTATGGTCACTCAAAGCTCAATGAGGCAGCACTTCGGAAATCTAGAMTTTCTAATAGTCCCAGTCACGAAAAAAAAATGATTTCCCGCTGTACTAATAACTACACTGACTTTTCGTGCTTGTCTGGTTGCTAGGATATCATCAAAAGTGTCACGAGCCGCCCATCCCAGCTAAAGCACTAGAGCTCGATGAACCTTGGATGTGTACATACTGTTCCGTAGGTGCATTTTGTCCTTACCTTGAAAACCCATTTGAAGCCAAGGATAAAAGAAACGAGCCCCTAAGAAGACGACGAATTCACCCGGTAAGTTTGCGGTGCAATTACCACTAATGTAAGTTTCGTCTTGGGGTCAATTTCCTGCCATATTGAGAGTTCTAATAAAAAGACCGGTGCGCTTTCATGGTCGCTCTACGCAAAAAGGACTCTAAGCACGCTTTAGGTTTATGGGKTTTTTTTAGTTTTTTATTGGACCAAGCTTTACTTAATACAATATCGATGCCGATATACGTTAGCTATAGGACATTTTCGATTTAATTGGGAATTAATGGATTATTTCACTATTAAAGTGTGCGCGGAACGGCTCTGAATAGCATTAACATTTGTGAAAAAAATCCCGTTAAAAAGGAAAAACATGTCTCTTTGCTTTCTCCAGAAATCGAATTCYCACAATACCTAGCGGTCGATGATCGACTATTTTTAATATTAACGTTAGGTAATAAAAGTCGGAATATACTTTGAAAACAAATRAAATATTCTAAACATATATATTTTGTTATTGTATTTAAAGAAAGACGAAAACAGAAAACACTCTATCAATAAAGAAATTCCACTTGATTTTCCATGTATGCGCTAGACAGATATTACATTAATAGTTGGATAAAAATCTGATATTGCACACAAGTTTGTTTCTGGGCCAATATCAAAGAATATTCGCTTCTGTACACAAACCAAAAGTGAGTCTCCTTTATACAGATTCTCTTGGTCCAATAAATGATTTTTTTAATAAGTTGATCTGGTGAATAATATCGGCGAGCGCCTAGGGAGGCTGAGATCAATWGATAAATTACCACTGTGGTAACATGTCGTTTAATCTGGAAATACAAACACTGATGACATATGATTAATCTTTTTTTTGACAAACTAGCAAATAAATGAAAATAAATAAATGACGTTGGAAATCATATCTTCACGGGAGTAACTTTCCTAATCCAATATTAAATTACGGCGGTTTTCGTTGCCGGCTGTATTTTATACTATACAAAATCCTTGTCATACTGTTTTTAAATGCAGATCGGTGATTCKATCCAAAGAGACTCTAAAAATAAGTATCAAAATATTTAAAGTATTATAGATAAATGTAGTTACAGACGATGTGTATACTAATCATATCATGAACTACATCTTACTTCAATAATGTTGCCCTTTACTCTAGAATAATGAATAAACAGCAGGAAACAAATTAGCGAGTGGATATTGTGAAATAGAACAAGTAGCGTAATTATGATGTACTAATTTTGACCACTGCTTGTAGCATGATTCAAGGTAGAGTTTATGAAGTTAATTCCTACATTACCCGTGTTTATTATTTAGTTATTAACATTTTCTTCTTATTTATCGGTCATTTAATCATCATTTATGTAGTGTTGACCCAGAATTTGTGAATTCTTTTTTTGATTTTCATTTTAAAACCTGAATAAGAGTATGTACGTCAGTTTACATGACGCAAATTCTTTATCTTTTGAAAGATAAAATTTGTCTTAATTATCAAAGTTAAAAATCCTTTTGAATTCAATTACCGGCTTCTTTTAATCATTTTTCAATTCGTCAAACTAGAATACAGTGTTGGTCTAATGACATACAATAATCACCTGCGATCCCCGTTGATATTGTCATTTTACGTTAGACATTATGAAAAATGAAAGTTTGTTTATCAAAAACTCAAACAGCGTTTTGTGATCATCTCATCTCTGTCACAATGTACAACCGCAAAGCTTCAAACCACTGCAGAGACTYTACATTGTGACGTCATTGACTAAACGAAGTATTTCCGATTATCCTTGAAGCTATGACCAAAGTTGATGAGCCGAAGACTTTGTGACGTATTAATMTTTCTCTACCATCATCCTTTTCGAGATTGTTTATGTGTTTTCGCATTTCATTTTTTTTTATCGCTTTTTGCTTTAAGTCATATGAAATAATAAATAGTAACAAATGGAACCCCTGATTCATTATTTTAAAGGTCCACTTAAACCAAGGAAACTTTGCAATTGTTTGTAGAATTGTAGAAATTGGCTACATTCACCGTAGCTTAAATCAGAAAAAATTCTAATTTTCATATCCTAAAAATGTCATTTTAGCCACTAAAAAGCGCYTAATTTTCYTATAGATTGCTTCACACGATTGTTACACAATCGCTTGTTGAATAACCGCTGTGCTTGTTGTATCAGCCAACGCTGACTCACCAGGAGCGACTTATTTTAAACAAGATTGATGTTATTTGCCTTAGGTAAAGGCTTACTTGCTTTAGCACAGAGCTTCTCRGATAAACGTGAGACTTTAAATCGCTATTTTTACACGTCTTCCCTTATATTGAGAATGCCAAACGTCGTTGAGAGAAAGGCTTTGTTATCTTGAGGACGGTAAATAMAGTACTAAAATAATTATTTCAGTCTATACCTTATAATTTCTTTTTTTCTATTTTCATTTTACACAAGTACAAATAGAACGGCTGGAATGTTCTAAAAGAGCCAATCCACTTGACCACGCTAAATAGTGTCTGAACTTACATGACCAACCACTTATATTATCTGAAAAGACAATAGTTTGATGGGCACAAACATAACAATAACACTGCGCTATATTGCAGCCATATGGAMTACATGGGATATTTTTTCTTCATAAAAATTCTAATTTTGTCTTCGTTTTATAGCTCAGCGGTGACAGTAGCGTCGTCACGACCGCCTGGAATTCTCACGGACATCGAGTGTTGACCAAGAAACAAGTGAACCACGGTATGTCCGGTTTTTACTACACATCGCCATCACAACACAGAGAAGGCAGTCGACCGAGAGGACGACCACCGTTTAGCCACAAAAAACATATGAATGAGAAACGAGGACGAGGAATTGGACGATCACCAAACAGAAATCAAACAAGGGAACGTGATCATCAAGCTGAACGTGACATCCAACAGGAAATCAACTCAAGAAAGAACTACAACAAGCATAATTCAGAAATGCAGCATCGTACTAGTCATTCGCGTTACAGTTCGCCAAGTCGWAGTAGTCGACACGGGGACGATGTCGATAGCTCAGGAAGCGACAGATCACAAAGCAACAAGGACTCTGAAAGCAACCCAAGAAAAGAAAACAACACAAATAAATCACTTTCGKTTGTAAAACACCATCGTCGAGATCCGCCTAGAGAAAAGCAACGTCTTACCCAAGACCTGGCCAGGCAAAAACGCCTTTTGAGCGAAGATCTTGCTCGCAATCAGATACTCCAAAGGGATCAAATCACAAGCAACTTTGATACACCAGACAGTGATTCAGCACAGGATCAATGCGACTCTSTCAAAGACAATGAAGACTGTATAAATGAAAAAGACAGCAGTCAATTGACTATGTATGAAAAATGTTATGGAAATAGCACGGCCACGAGTCCTGGGGACGAGTCTACGGAAGAAACTCAACGTGAGATAAAATCTTCAAGATGTGATAATGTCGAAAARTCTTTATTTGAACGAATGTTGAACAGAACTTCACTTTCTGAAACTAAACACATTGAGTTTATTAACGAGAGTCAATTGGAAATGAGGAGTGATGAGGAGAAGAATGACGCCGATCACGTGATTGCTAAACCCTTGTCTCCTCAATCGGACATAACGAGCAAAGGCGATCTCAATAGGAAAGTAAAACTTCCTGTTTTTGAGAATGTTACGGATGATGAGCTGACAATAAGCGACAATGAAGCATCCGCTCATCCTGAAGTGAATTCGCATGAGATTTCCTCTAATGYGCTTGTTACAAGAGCTGAAATAGTTTCTAATGCGAACTACTGTTTCTCAAACTCACAGTCGCTGAATAATCATTCTTCTGAAAAAGAACTTTCGGCCATAGAGCATGATAAGGACTACAGTGATAAAAACTCGTGTGAATGCTCGACTCATGAAGGATCGGATAACGATACCAGTACTTATTATAATGGAGGTGATGCTAAGGWAATTAAGGAAATGCTAAAATCGGATCAGAAATCAGATCACAGCACTATCAAAGCTTCAAAAATGTCACAAATTCTTGACGAACCGGACATACAGTGTGAACATTCATTAAGAAATGAAAATTTTAGCCAAGAAAGGGACGATAATGAAACTCAACATGATTCAAAAACCGCTAAAGACTCAATGGAAAATAATCTCGCAATCAATTCTATTGCAAATGACTTTGTTGATTCTAATCATCAAGACGATATAGTAGATGAATTTGAAAATAGCAAGGACCTAGAGAACGCATCTATGGAACAAGACACTGATGTCTCAAATAACGAAGGAATGTCTGATGCTGAGGAGTTAAGCGATCTTGAGCCTGTAACGTCATCAGGAAAGGCAAAGATTAAACGAAAAACACGAAAAAAGTCAAAAAGTTCAAAGGGCGTCACAAAAATCATGAGTTCYCCACAAAGGCAACCTAGACGTAGCAAAACAGGGCGCAGACTAGGACGTCCTCCTAAAGTAAACAAGCAAATACGGCAAATTGACAGCGATAGTGATGATCAAGACAATATCAACAGCGATTTTAAAGGTGAAAACAAAGAACACAAATCATTGAGTCCTTCAAAGGAGCTCATCGCCGCTGATTCTACACAAGACAATTACAAAGAAAATGACGAGTCTAGCCAGTTTGATGRTAATGCATCGAAAGATGAGGATGTAAAGGGTGAAGCTAACGATATTGATGGTGCTGAGGAAGACCCACTTTCACCCGAGAGTCTTGTCCAACAGGACTCAGACACTGAAGATGCAAATCAAGAAATTTTTTCTTTAACGGATGCAGAACGACTGCAGTATGAAGAGCAAGGAAGAAAAGAAAGAGCAAGGAAAGATAAACGAATTGCTGCTAGGCAAAAAAGAAAGAGCGTTGATCGAGATCGTGACAAAGAGCGCTCAACGCCCCCTCATTTGATCAGTCAAAACCGTTTTGCTCGTGACCTTCCAAGACACAACTGGCTTGTTGAACGTCTTCTTCAACAAAAGAAACTAGGACAGGAAGCTCTGAAACAAGATGAAAATGAGAATTCTGATAACGCTGAAGGAAATTCCGACGAGGAGTCTAAAATAAAGGATGAAATGTCAACAAACAATTCAAATGTTGACATTGAACTTGATTCAAAAACGCAAGACACAATGTGCATTAAAGATACRCAATCAGAATGCGCTGAAGCCCCCAGAGAAGATCCTTCCAGTCCTATTAAAGATGATTTCCAATCGGAACTTCACAGGAGCTTCCTACGTCGAAGTTTTCCTCCGAATGTACCTCGTTCTCCGCCAAAACTTAAACCTGCTTCACCCGATAGCAACACGAACARTGAAAACAAACCCCTTCCACCTCCACTGAAACACAAGCTTCATTCTAAAGAACATTCTATACTTGAGCCAGTTCCAAAGCTCAAGAAAATTGTTCCTGAAAAGACCAAAGAAAGTGAMGAAWCAAATGTAACGGAACAAGACAACGAGGAGAGTGAGCCACCTAAAGATAGCAAAGACAGCGAATCATCAGGAAAGCAGCAAAGTCCGATTGAAATTTTTGATGATGAAGAGGAAAAGAAAAAAATTGAATCTGAATCTGAAACAAAGCCAACTAAAACATCTACTAGTCCTGTTATCAGCTCCATGGCAAAAGATGAAGACAGCTCTACAAAGCGTTCCAGCTTCTCACCCCCAAAAAAGCCACTCCTTTATCCTTCATCCAAGAAGATAGTGCATTCAGTGAGTCCCACTCTTCCCGGCAAGGATCTTCCCAGTCCACATTCCATGGGACCACATCATAGAGCTGCAATTCTAATTCCAGTCGTACCTATGCATGACGCCAATGGACTCCCACTTCCTCCCAGCCTTGGSCCACCTTCACCACACATGAAGCCGTACTCGCCCAGAACATTTACRCCTCATCTTATTACCCACAATCCTCCATTTTCGTCAGCTGGACTATTTAGTGGACCTCCGCCGAATCGTTACCCAGCAGGCTCATGTCATCACTATCACCCGGGGCTCAAACCGGGACCGTGTAAACGTGACGTTAACTGTCCTTTCCATGGCTCCCACAATCGTGCACTTCAGGGAGGACTTCTTGGGATTCCATCTCACCATCCGGGATCTATGGGACCTTTCAACAGTCCACATGAACACATTACCCAAATGCTAGCGAGGGAAAGAGAACACAGAGAAGGGCATTGTCCTAACAGTGATTGTAAACTTTGTCGGCAAGGGAAAGAATCTCCAAAAATTCGAGAACTTGACCCGCAATCGAGTAACGAAAAGAAATCTCCACAGCCAGCCAAAGTTGTTAAACCAATAGCGCATGTGCCAGGCATGCGTCCTCCTCTTATGCTGTCGCACCTGCAACAGTTTGGAATAAGACCTGGACATAGCTTTTCAGACATCGATACCATCCAGGAAGAAAAAGCAAGACGATCAGGATTAGATCCACTTTTGTCACCTAGAACAAAGCTTGGTAGTACCTCTCCAGATCGTCCGTCTAGAGAACCACTAGTCCCTGGAATGTTTCCTCATGAAAGGAGATCACTTCCWCAATCACTTACTTTGTCTGACTTAAACAGGAGACGCGAACAAGAATTCCTGAAAGGTCCTCACGATAGTCTWAACAAACGACGTGGACTTCCTGGCGATTTCATTGTACCAGGATTTTCACCGCCTTCAAGTCTAAGCAAGACTGGTTTGATTCATCCAAAAGACTCCGCTCTCTTTAGCACAAGTCGCAATCAAGCGATTATATCTTCACAATCAGARAAGCGTGATTTGCATCGACTGGACGATCGTGAACGTAATGCATTTCTTCCTGACACTTTAAAATCAGGACCTCCACGTCTACGACCGCTGGACGAGAAGATCGACGTGCACGCGCTACGGAATCTAAACGAACAGAAAGGACGCGAAGATATAGCAAGGCGTGAGAGTGCACCTGCCATGCTTCCCGTACCTACTTCTAAAGAAGGATCTGGACTGCCCCCTGCAAAACTCTTTGAAGATAGAGAGGTAGCACGCGATCAAGCACGTGACCAAACGATAGGCTTTTCTCGGCCCAATAAAGAATTTGATATGCGACTTCTTAGTAGCCATGGCAACTCATCAATTCTTGGTCCTGGGATGAGAAATCTAGAGGAAAGTCGTAAAATATCAGAAGACGAAAGGAAAGGATCGACAAGGGAAGASCGTGAGCAAGAAGCCAGGAGGACAGTCGAGTCAGAAACTAGAGAACGCGAAATACGGGAGGAGCAAGCAATGAACGCTTTAGAAGCATCACATCGTCGAAGTATTGAACAAATGAGAGAAAAGGAACAGGAAAAACGTGCTTTTGCAGAAAGAGATGCAATGCGGGGACTGACACCTATGGAGAGAGATCGCATGAAGCAACAGCTGTTGAGAGGGCCTGATGCTGAAAAACATTTCAAGTCAACTTTTGCGCTACCACGTGAAMGATCACCTCCTTTTCTACGCAGAGAAATGTTTCAGGAGCGATTAATTGATCCATCCAAGGTTGATCATAGATTGGATTTAAGGTCGGCCCCACTTTATGATTTACAAAGAAGGCAGGAACTATTTCGTGCAACTGAAGGCTCGCACAGAGAACTGCTTGGTAGAATAGCATCCACTTATTCTGCCAATAAAACTGGACATCCTACCGATAAACACTTCTCTGAAAGATTTCACCCCGAATTACCTCGTTCTCTAACAGATATTGGGGGGCACTCGCCATCTAGAGGGTATCCATTGTCGCTGGCGTCTAGGCAAGCCATGGACAGACTGGCCGCTGCTGCGCAAGGGAAATCCATTCCACTTAACAAGGAGTTAGATAAAGAAATCCCAATACATCTTAGAACGGTATGAAATACATATCCAATTAAGTCTTATATATGTTTGTTTACTTTTTAGTTTGATATTGTAGGTCTTGATTACAAATAAATCACTAGAAACTCGCAATATTCAAACTTCTTTGTTCTAACGACAAATTCTTTCAGATATTTTGTTAGCTTTTTTTAAAAGCTYACTGATGTGTCGAAATGTCAGCCAGTGATCCCTAAAAACTGATGAACTCTAACATTTTATCAAAAAACAATTAAAGGGATGTTATCAAAGACCCATTTTTGACTATTTTATCAGAATATCACTACTTTTGAACGCGAAATCCTTAAAATATAGCAAGTATATTTTATCCGGAAGAACTTTGACGTTCATAAATTTAATGACATTTCTTCCTTTTTATCTTAAAACTTAGAAAGCACTTCCATCAGGACACTTAAGTCGTCAAGTGATCTTCTACTCTTTCATCATGTTCCGGCTCTCAACAAAAGTCTTGCCTTTTGATTTGAGCCGACATCCGGAAACTCCTCGTTGTTCGTTGCTACAGAATGTCAAAATTTACAAATGTTTAAAATAGGAATCAAGAGCTTGTAATTGAGGGTTGATTAAAGAAGTATACAATCATTCGCTGATGTGACACTCTTTTATTTTAACAGGAGATGGAACGTGAAAGGGAAAAAGAACGACATCGACTTAGTCTCGAACAAATTGATGTCAATCGGCGGCTTCTCCAAGCAGAACTCAAAGAAAAAGTTAACCCTTTGGTTCTCAACCGAGAAATTGGTCCACGGGATCGAGAGAAGGAGATGGCTGCCCTTAGGGCACGGGAACGTCTTATGATCGAAAGAGAACGGCACATGGCGTTTGAAAGACTTGTCGAAGAAAGAAGACGGAAGCGTGATGCTGGTGAACTTGAAGGACCATTTATGCCTGCAGGTCGACATCTTCCATCACCTCCCTATGGTCGAGCGTTAAATGAATTTGAAAGAGCAAAGAGAATGAGACTTGATGAACAAATTCTAACACCATCTTCTTACGGCTCACTCATGGCYTCCCAAGSCGTGAATTCCTTTGATAGTAAAGCTAAGGATGATCGCCTTACTTCGCCAAAGGGAGGTGTAGATCAAAGACTTGGACGGCCATTAGAGCTCGAACTTTCAAACAAAAATCCTACTTCAATWCTGGAGCGAGAAGCACTATGGCTGCGTGAGCGTGAACGTGTAATGAGAGCTAAAGAAGAACTCAGCAGACTTCAGCCTAAAGTTTCGCACAGCCATACCGGACATTTGCCTGCTGCGTTTGTCAACTCCAAAGACAGGCCAGAGGGGGTTCCGCGCGATTCTGAAAACAGTGGAAAACAGCCCGATGACGAAAGTGTGAATCTTTGTTCAGTGTGTAAACGAGATGCGTCTTTCTTGTGTTCGGGATGCCAAGGGGCGTGGTACTGTAGTACAGAATGCCAGGTAATGAAATAACTATTGTTATGTATGGTGGTGAAGGGGRAGACGGAGGTGCAGTTAAGCAGGGATGGGCTTCGAGTATTGTTCTTTGTTCTCCACACCTTAGAATAGCACCTAGTGTTAAGAGGATTAATTTGTGTCAGGAGTTGTCCCCGAAACTGTCGCGARACGTCTTGTTTCTCTAATGAAAAAGACTTGTCTTCATTATCTTTATCTTTTTTAGTTATTTGACTGATCGCTAGAGCGATAGATTTGATGATTGATTGTTTTATTGATTGTCTGTCGCTTTTTTTTCTAGCTCTCTGCATGGGCGAAACACAGTCGAGATTGTGGTCAATCACAAAGACAATAGCAAGCCATCGTCGGTATATTCGCGGTTTTTTATATATAAAATTAAGAATTTAATGGTGTTATGGTAATTAAGAGGATTACTGTAATCTTTCTTATGGAATATCGATGACTGTAGTGTTAGGAAAACAAACTTTGAATATCTGAAACAAATGTAAGGTGTAATATATTTCATACAAAATTGTCAACTAATCAATTAATCGAGTAGATAGTAAGTACTGTACTTAAACAATAACGAACTATTCCCAAGCGTACGAAGTGTACAATATTGATGATAGTGATAAAGCTACACATTCACGTGCTATTTTTTGGAATCTTTCGAGTGTACATGATGAAAGAAAAGATACCAAGTAGTTCACAATATATAGAGATTGTATTGTTGAACAGTAGCTCTGTCACTCCTGTCAGATTTTCACTCACTAATGACAGCAGGCGATGATTTGTCTTTTGAAGTTTTCTTCTTTTTTTCTTTTTGATTTTACTACTTCAAAGGCGAGCTAGCTAAGCCATTGTTTGTTAATGAAAACTTTGGTGTTGATTTCTCATAGATGCACTGAATTCATATACTATGAAAATAGTTTTGTTTCTACTTGCTAAAAAAAATTCTAATGATATAAATTTAAAACAAATTTAATTGATTTAAATTATATTGGAATTACAGCTGAGTAATATTTGATATAGAATCTATACTTTTTTACATTTTTTGGTTTCTTGTGGTATGAATGTCTCTATCGTTCAGTAATTAGATGAAATGCTAGGGAAGAGCAACTGTCCAGATGACTCTATCGTAATCAGTGCTAATCCTATGAAGCAAGAACATTTATGAATCACAAAACGATCGTGTAGCGAATGCGTCTCTAGGTGGTAGAACTATCAAAACACCTAGGGGTGCATTACTTCATGCAAACAGGACCTATTGTGATAAAATTAATTATTATTTAAAGAATCACAACCAACCGTCGTATCTTGCGAGCCGAAGCGCCATTTTAGGTGGACACGAAAATGGCGGATTCGTTGGGATTTCTTAGTTAAAGTGAGCGCGAATCGTCTTCTATCCATTCAGTTTGGACAGAAATACCTMTTTTAAAACTAAGTATCTCACAGRTACTAATAATCTTTTGTATGATTGTCGCATGCAATTAAACGTATGTAAACAATAACAAAAGCGCGCGCTGTATCATGGTTGGTTAGGATTCTTTAATAGAGTTGAACTTGATGGACCTTTTTTCGTCATTTGATGAATCTATTCCCAGTTGTTGGTTCAGAAAATTCCATTTTCGATCAATAAGTGCTCCGTTTTTTATACGACAACCCATTTTTTCAAACAGGTGTACTTTGCACACAATATTCATGATTATTGTGGCCAACACTAACTGTGTCATTACAACATATACGATTTTTCTTCTGACTTCTTGATCAACTGAAATGATTTCACAATTCTGTTCCTCGGTTTTACTGTATACTGAGTTAAAAGTCCTATATATRGAAATTATATGTTCTAGAAAGACTTCTATTTATGAATTCAGTCACTCTATTTAATTTAGAAGTTTTATAGGACTATTTCATATGCMGAATTCAATGCAAATACAAATAAAAAAAGAACGGTTAAGGTAATTTATTTTGAATTTTGCAAATGTAKCATTCAATGTAGAAATKACAAGAATCTTACATCGAATTAAAAGATAACCATTGTCATGATCACGTGACATGTGGGTACTCATGGGAAATAAACTGGGTTATTGTCATCACATGATCATGCATTAGTATTCATTACAACCTTGATGTAAATTGCTGTATTATAGTGGATTGAGATAAGTTGATGATGGTAATAATAACGAATATAACAAATTAACATTTTTTCAGAAATATCTATTAGTCCTTTTATATTTTTTATAGTATTAGACAGGAGAAAGTCTCCTCTAAACATTATATTGGCCATCGTGAGAACATCTTGCTTTTTTACGAAAAATAAGTCCAGACCAATATTAATATCGTATACTTATATTATTTCGTATGTAAAATATTGCTTGGAATTTGTTTTGAGAAGTAATTTTACGTGTGTTCAGAACACTACAACAGTACGCAAGATTTATTCTGACTAGCTCACTGTTAAACGGCCTATTTATCGATTATGTACCTTAAAAAGAATATTTCTTTTGTTACTTTCTTTGTTAATCCATTATATGTTCTTAATGTGTTATCTTCACTAGAGAAAATAACATGTTGAATATTTTCACTAATGAAGTTATTTAATAGTAAATTATAGTAAAAGTAATAAATAATGATGATAGTGAGTTTAGMAATCTTTTCATATTAGTGTAAAGTCATTGAGACACAGCATAAACTGTTAAAAGGTCCTCACTGAATGACGCGTTCGACTAAATGTATTATTATTTTCAATAAGTTATAAAGACAATGCTCATAATGTATTAAATTCACTCGTGGAATAATAAAGAAAGAGTTGACATTAAAAACTTGCTAAAATGTTGAGTTTTGATAATCTATAGGGGGCAAACACTAAAACCTTGAAAGCAATARTGAGAAGTTGTACTCTGAATTATGCAAATTTCGTTGTTTTCTGTCTGATTTACGCTATTTTATTACTATCATTATTTCGTACTCATTCACTTTTTTTAGTGTTTGCACTCTTTTAGTAATTTRTACACTCTAAGCCGAAGTATGCCACGGCTGTCGTGCGACGATGGTCGCGTGAGGAAACTTGTTTCCCAGTCTTTCTTTCTTCTKCCAATGCATCTCACTTTAATTGTCACAGCTTATTTTACGCTATTTATTTGAATTTTTCCAATTTTTAGTATGAAAAAAGGTGGATCCAGAAAGATACAAAGGGGCAAACCTTAGCATGTCCATCACATCCATCACATTCAAATGTACGGGATCCCATTGTCCAAGCTAGAGTAAGACTAATATTTTGAAAATATAAATTAAGTGACTTTTTTTTTGCAAATCATCCTACATTTCTTATTTTCTACGAGAATCACAAAAAAGGAAAAGAAAAAAGATTAAAAACAGAAAAAAATATGAAAAAGAAGAAAGAAAGTGGTAAAACGGGCTATCCATCTAACAGGTAGAGAGAGAGTTGATTAGTCAAATCCGGCATCCTCTTGTTCTCTGGATTCTCGTACATGTTCAAAATGGTTT